AATCCCCTTTTGGAGGATTCCCTACTCATGTGGCCAGGTTGACCATAAGTATAACATACTGTTCCCGTCACCCGACAAACTCCTACATGTGACCTCCAACACTTGGCACACTGGCCACAACCCTTCTGGCCCTTTCCAAAAGATTCAAAGGTCCTAGGATTTTTAGCCTGACCCACAACTATCTGAACATGTTCCGACTTTCACTTAGTGCGAAGCTCCAACTCCATCTTCCGCTCTCGAGCCTTCTCCACCATCTCATTTAGGGTCTTGCACCCTATAATTCTCACAAACTCATGGATATCATCCCTCAGCATGTAATGATACCTCATTCTTCTCATATCCTCATACGCAACATACTACAAGATCAACAATGCTCGTTCCTGAAACATGGCGGTGATCTCCACCACAGTCTTGGTGGTCTGTTTGAGCTCTTGAAACTCCTTCACTAACCGTTACACCTCAATAGGTGGTGAAAACTCTAAATCAAAGCATCTAACAAACTCAACCCATGTTATCTCAGTCAGACCGACTGCTCCCACCTGGCTAGTCACCTCCTCCCATAAATCCCTGGCTTGGTCCCTCAACATACACGAGGAAAACCCCACCTTTTCCACATTTGGGAAAAAGCTCGTGCGCTGGGCATTCTCCATGTCTGCCACCCAACTTCAACTAGCTATGGGGTTCCTGACCCCGAAGAACTCAGGAGATCCGCATGCCTTGAATTCCATGAACGAGGGAGTTCGGGCCTCGACCTAGCCCGTAGCAATCTCGGCTCGAAAAGACCTAGGCTGCTCTTCCATGATCTATATCATCCCTTCCTGGACTGTCCCAAAAATCATTAGGGTAGCATCAAGGATGCCTCTTGTAACCTCGACTGCAATAAGCTCATGCAACCTCTCATCAATGGGCTCGGTATCGTAGCACGACCCGTATCCTGATCCTGATCCCCTTGATCCATGTCGTGTCAATACCATCCTGGTTTGAAATACCATAAAACATAATGATCAAGATATTCAATTAGGGGATCCTTCCACACCGGTCTCCATAGATCTCCCAGATCTAACATTAGTATAGGTACATGTCCTATGCTTTCCGTAGTACGGGTCTAATGCTACCTTCTACACCTACCTGTACCTTCTCTACGACTCTACCTGATAACTCTCATTCATCCCAATATAAAACATATCTCACAGGCTACTGCATATCTCAAATCCTAGGCTATCCTAAGATTTTCTCAACCCCTATCAAACTAGAATCACAAAAGACATAACAGGTTGCCTTATGCATGCAAATTATACACATAATATGATCAAATAGACTTTTAAATAACTGACTCTACCCTAGGACCACAACCAAGCAAGGAACAAGAAATAAGGCCAAATCAATCATTCTAAGTTTATAAGATCCTAACTATATGTAATTTTTAAAGTGTACACATAGGAAATCCATCCGACTATCGTAATCCAAATATCAGTATAACATGGCTAACATATTGGGGAACCAATTACTTGAGCTTGGATGATTACGTGCATTGCACTATCCTTTTTCTAGTTTAAGAAGTTTTAAAATTGATTATTTTTAAAAACAGTTTTACCATTTCCTTAATTTGAGTCCTGACACACCTGAGAGTGTACTCAAATCCCTCAAACCAAGGCTCTGATATCAACTTGTAACAACCCAAATTTCTAATAAAAGTTTTCATTTTTAATTAACAATATCAATCTTAAAGACATAATAATTCAGCCACATTTGGTTCTCAAAAATCCATAATATCGAAAAAATTATCCAAAAACATGAGAGTGTCCCCAAATAAATGTCGGAGAGTGCATGTCGCACCATCACGCTAGGCCCTTTCCCTTAGGCTCTGAAGAACCTAAAACAACCAACAAACTATAACCTAATTCTTAGTGAGTTCCCTAGAGTATACCCCACACAATCCATATAATCACATAATCCATATTAGCTCTATAAGCTACACATACCACATAAGCCATGCACATAAACATATAAGGATGCCCTTGAAACCCTCCAGGGTCTTACTCTGTGTGCCCTAGAAACACTCCAGGGTCTTAGCCGGTTGCTTCGGGAACCCCCGAGGTCTTAACTATTGATGCAATCGAAACCCTATAAGGTCTTACACCTTATTGCCTTGGGAACCCGCAAGGTCTTTACCTAGGATTCCTTGGACCCTCCAAGGTCTTACACCCAAATGCCTCGGGAACCCCCCAAGGTCCTTACTTAGGATGCCTTGGAAACCCTCCAAGGTCTTACACCTAAATGCCTCAGGAACACCCCGAGGTCTTTCATGCAAGTACTACAAATACGGCTAGCATACCACAATGCACATAATCAACTAGCACATCACATAACAATAATGGGCCGACCTTGGTGCCTTCGATCTATTGGTATGGTGAGGAGACTCACCTCTCAAGAAGTGTTGAACTGATAAGATCAAATCCCAACTCACAACTCCAATTCAACTGCCTACAACCACTAAGTGACTAGCTTTGTTAAAATCCCGAAATACCATAAATACACTTAAGGTCAAACTTGGTCAACCATAGTCAACATGAAGGTCAACACTCAAGTCAGCAGTCCATGCTGACCCCAACTCGTTGAGTTCCTTCAGATTTCAAGAAAACTGGGACAAACCCTCACCAACTCGCTGAGTTATCTCATCAACTCGTCGAGTGTACTCAATATCCATAAGGTGGGGTAATTTGATCCGACTTATCGAGTTTCCAAGGCAACTCGTCGAATTTCTCCAATCTTAACCTATTTAGTGCTTTTCAGTCAAATATAAAACCCCAAACTACAAATCTAGTCTCCTAGGGTTAAGATACCACATAAAGTTGCTAAGTTTTCATTCATGTATGACATCTAAGGGGTTACAACACTCATATGAAGCTTAATAAGAGGTTTAGGGCATGAGGAAGGGACATAACTTAATAAATATGGTAACTTTACATCTAAAGAGACCATAAGGAGTCCAGATCTGAAGTTATGTCCTCATTACAAGCTCAAACCCGAGAGTGACTCCATTTTGCACTATAAATGACCATATTCTTGCATAAGAGAAGATCTAATAAATAGAAAGCCAAGCTAAAGACTTTTTACCTCCAAATGGTTGCTAACTCAGAGTATATGTCGGATCTACAGCCGCTCCCTTTGCTCCAACCTCTTCAATTTCCAAATTCCTTCACAACCACACCAAAATCATGCTTCAAGGCTCTCACACACACTCAAGAAGGTACTAGGCTCGAATTAGGGTTTCTCTGGGCAGTAAAGACAATGAGGGAGGACAAAATGAGCCATAAGTTTTTTATATAGGGCATAAAAGCCTGAAAATTAGGGTTTTCCTTTCCAGCATCTACTCTTCGAGTTGGGGCCTTCTAACTCGTCGAGTAGACCCTTCATCCCGCGTCCATAATGATCCCTACTCGACGAGTTGGAGTTGCCAACTCGTCGAGTCCCAGTCCAAGACCTTAAAGAAATAAATGATACCTGAAACGAGGGTTACAAGGGTGCATATTCCGAAGCCATTCCCGCAACCTAAAGGATTGGAAAATCTTAAGGTTTGTTTTATTCAGAATGATCCATAGGGTGTAGTTTACAAGGAAAATGAGAATTGTGTTTTGTGAAATAGTATGATGCACTTACAAGATAAAAATTTGTTTCATTTTACGACTATTTCAACTCTTCTTTCAAGGACAAAGATACACAAATTAAACACCACTAACGATATCAAGTGTGTTTCCGATATGTTGAAATGGTGGTTAACTATTCAAATGATTCTTAGGGATGATTCTAAAAGCTTTTGATGAAAAGAAGTGAAGACTACTTTCGCGACCCGATGCAAAGCGGGAGATTGTTAGGTCTCGCAAAATGAATAGATTGTGCCAAGTCTATATGCGAAATGTTTTGCAAGCCTTGTGTGTTATAGTCTTTTTGTTTCGTATGAGAACTAAAGGTTTCAATCTTCCATGTCGGTAATTCTCATTATTACTTAGGTTCATAATTTGTTAGTTAAGTGGCGGGCTGTTGACTTAGGTATCCTGATTTATTTACTTAGGTTCACATGTTAGAGCCTAAACGACTATCTTCTCACCTAATATATAGATAGGAGAGTTAGTTAAATAAAAAAAATATCTTTTGTAGATTCATTTTTTCTTCACTGTATCAAACTTATTTTTATTCTGTAATGAAATTGAAGATCTTATTTACTTTGTTAGCGTTCAATTGATTTGATCTTATCTTCCATGACATTTTTTTATTAGAATCTATTCATTCCTATTATTCTATCAATTATCTAGACACATAAATAAACTTGCAAATGACTATATATGTATCTGTCGTCTTATACAAAAATAATCACAAAAACATTATATAAATCAAACAAATACCATGGTAGATGGTCCATTTGCCCATAATTTTTAATCATGGGTAAAACATTTTTAACTTAAATTGTTGCAAAAGATTTGGAAATGCTTTATAATGGTCACACGACCCAACAAAAAATGTCTAGCTATAATTTTATTAGTAACCTTTGGCCTCTAAAATAACCTACAATGTAAAAAAACTGTTTCGAAAAATATGTAACTCTATGTCATTATTATATATATATATTATGGATATTGTATCTTATGAATAGTAAAATATCACAATTTTTGTCTATGGCCGTCCCTATACTTCCGTTTCTTGTATTGGTTCTTTGTCATTTCCTTATGTTTTGGTTTGTTTCTCATTTTATTGCTTCTTTGTCGTATATGCGCTTCTCCTGTTCATTTCTTTTTTGGTTTCTAGATATTTCTTTATTTTCCGTATCTGCATCCCTTTCTTTTATCTGTATGTGAATCCTTTTCTTTTATCCTTCACTTTCATTCTTCTGCCTCCTTCCTGCTCTCTCTTTGAGGTAATATTCTTCTGTTTTTTTTTGTTTGCTTCTTTTGCTGTGATTTTTCGTTCCGGCTGTTGTTGCTGTGTTGTGTGTTTATTTTGTCATGGCTGTTCCGTCGAAACGGAGAGCTGATGATGGTGGTTCTTCGTCTGTTCCTCCCTCTGTCGGCTGTCGGTGCAGGTCTCGACGTTTACAACCATTATCTCTTCTTCCCGACTACATGGATTGTGGTGATTGTACGTGTGTTTGTGCCTACTGCGGTGCGTTGTTCCGGTACATTGAGAGAGTCGTTAATACATCTACAGCTGATCCTCCTAGATATAATCATTGTTGTAGAGGTGGAGATGTTGTACTTCCTTATCCTTCCATGTTTCCCACCGACTTTGTTGCTCTGTATCAAAATTCGGGTTTTTTAAGGGATATTGGGGCTTATAACAACATGTTTTCTATGACTTCTTTTGGGGCAAACGTAGATGAGGATGTGAATGATAACCATGGTCCTTATGTTTTTAAGATATCTGGTCAGATTAGCCACAAGATTGGGTCCCTCTGTCCGGATCCTATAAAGGGTCCGAGGTTTCTGCAACTATACCTCTTTGATACTGGGAACGAAGTAGAGAACAGATTGAGGCCTTTTGATCATCCTTCAAAGAGCGATTTAGATTGTAACATTGTCAGCTATTTGGTCAACTTTTTGGGGGCTAATAACGAATATGTGCGCACCTTCAAGACTGCAAAACAAATAGCAGAAGAAAGTAATTTACAGTCATATGCGGTGCGACTCTTTAACAATGTTGCGGATCGTAGGTATGATTTGCCTTCGTCTGGGTCTTTGGGTTGTATAGTAACTGGTGATGACACAATCTCTACAACATATGACATCATTATCCATTCGCAATCAAGTCGGCCTCAACGTACCAGTAAGCTGCATCCAAGCTATATGCCATTACAATACCCGCTTTTGTTTCCATATGGTGAAGAAGGTTGGTCACCCCGTTTGAAAATTGGAAATAGGATTGGTGCAACAGCTCGAAATCTTACCGTCAATATGAATTATGCCTATCAAATTCATGCCCGTCAGCATATCTGGTCTCCTATTGTAAACTCATCTCGGCTCTTTCAACAATATTTGGTTGATGCATACACATGTATAGAAGAATTTCGTCTTGATTACATTGTAAAACATCAATCTAATCTTCGGTCTGATTATGTTAGCGGCCTGTATGATGCGCTTTCGAAGGGACATAGGGAGGCAAGTGTTGTTGGCAAACGTGTATTCTTACCAGCATCATTTACCGGTGGTCCCCGATTCATGTATAGTCATTATCAAGATGCACTTTCTATATGTAGGGTGTATGGCAATCCACAATACTTTATTACTTTTACATGTAATTTGAAATGGCCAGAAATAACTCGATACATGGATACACATATGCAAGGAGATGTTCACAGCAGAGCTGATATCATTGCTAGAGTGTTCAACATCAAGGTTCATGAGTTTGTTCGGTTTCTAAAACAGGACAAAACCTTTGGCGAGGTTGAAGCATGTATGTTTTCGATTTCATATTCCTTTCATGTACGGGTTATTTATCATACAGATAATATTTTCCAAATCCGCCTCTTTATAGATATGTTACCATTTGTCTTTCAATTTTTGTAATGAACGGTTACCATATTTTTTAATATTTGTTTTTACCTATGTTTATTAATGTTTTTTGGTTATCGTTTCGTACAGCTTCAAGTTCCATGTTATTATCATTTGATAAAAATGTTACTTTACGCTATCATATGGTTTCATTCTTATCCATGAAGATTTCACTTAACACACATGTTTCCCAATGTACTCGATCAGTTGATGCTTTCAAGCACACCTATCTACTCATATATAGTAATTTACATTTTTACTTTTTTTTAATGCTTTTATGAGTCATTACATTTTCTTATGCTTTTAGCTCTCACATTTGTTACATACTATAAGAGTTATACATTACATTCCATATCTGGATCGAAATGGTATATTAGATTCAAAACATTCCTTTTTATTCGTAGATAATAGTATTTGGTTTTTATTTATTTATTTAGTTTTTTATTTCTGTTTTTTTTTTCAGTCTGTCACGGTTTTGTACCTCTCACCTTTTTATGGATTTCTACCTATTTAATATGATGTGATTTTTATCATGATATCATTATGATGTCATATTATAACACTGTTGCATTGATTACATAATGCATAGCTTATTTGATTCATGTAGAATATATATCTTTGTAGATATCAATCATAATAATCATCATTTCCAAATCTACCCCTTTGTAGATATGTTGCCATCTGTATTTCCAACTTTATAACAAATGGTTAGCATATTTTTTGATATTTATTTTTACATATGTTTGTTAATATAGTTATTTACATCTTTTACCCTTTGTTTTCAACAATGTTTTTAGTGGGTTTTTTTGTTATAATTTGGTAGAAGTTGAATTTTTATGTTATCTCCCTGTTCATCTGCTTTCTATATGTAGGGTCCATGGCTATCCACAATGGTATATCGATTTTACATGTCATGTGAAGTCGGCAGAAATAACAGAGTACATGGATATACATATGCAAAGAGATTTCTAAAACACAACAAAACATTTGGTGAGGCTGAACGATATATGTTTTGCATTTTCTCTTTGTTTGAGATATATTTTAAATATAATGTTATTCTTACCATGAAATTATTAAGACGTGATGTCATTTTGGTATTCCAATTTTGTTTTTTACATTTTTAACCCTTTGTTTTGAACATTCTTTTTTATTGTTTTTTTTTGTTATAATTTGGTAGAAATTGAATTCTTCTGTCATTTCCCTATTCATCTGCTTTCTATATGTAGAGTTTATGTCAAACCACAATGGTTTATCGTTTTACATGTAATGTGAAGTGGACAGAAATAACAGAGTACGTGCATACACATATGCAAAGACATGTCCACAGTAGAACACATATGACTGCTTTAGTCGTCAACATCAAAGTTCATGAGTTTGTTCGGTTTCTAAAACAGAACAAAACAGTTGGTGAGGCTGAAGCATATATGTTTTGCATTTTGTCTTCGTTTGAGATATATTTTAAATATAATGTTATTGTTACCATGAAATCGTTACCATGAAATCATTAAGACGTGATGTGATTTCAGTATTCCAATGCTTAAATGATTCATATTTTATTTGATTCATATTCGGCTATATGTCTTTGCAAACATAAGTTGTATTAAAGACCATTTCCAAAGGTACCCCTTTGTACATATGTTACCGTTTGTCTTTGAATTTCACTAACAAATGATTAACATACTTTTTAGTGTTTGCTTTAGGTGTGTTTTATAATAATTTTTTTGCTATGATTTGTTACATATTGAATCCTCCTGTTATTTGGCTGCAATAAAAGCTTTTAGTTCATTCTTGAAGATTTTATTTTACATTACATTCCATATCTTCCTACACATGGTATATTACATTCAAAGTATATAAATTATGCGATTGACAGTTTACTTTTTTTTTTCTCTTTTTTTGTTTACTTCATTTTTTTTAGTTCTAACTGTAATTTTTTCCCCATATTATAACAGCTATACATTACATTCCATATCTTCCTACACATTCTACATGATAATTTTCAGTTTTTATTGGTTTCTTTTTTCCTTTTTATTGGTTTCTTTTTGTATCTGTTACTTTTTTAACACACTCTATTACATTCCATATTATATAATATTTGGTTCACTTATTTGACAAAAGTATATTTGATTGAAATTTCAAAATTTGTTAATATATTGGTATCTTTTTTATGCTAATTTTGTATCTCCCTTTTATTTTTAGCATGAAATCATTAAGATGTCATGTTATAATAGTATGGGACTGTTCACAGTATCCATATTTTATTTGATTCATATAGCTTTCTATATCTACTACCATTTGTCTTTCGATTTTGGTAACAAATTGTTAACATATTTACTACAGTTTGTTTTTATGTGTGTTTCTTAATGTTCTTTTAGTTATAATTTGGTAGACATAAAATCTTGGTGTTCTTTGCCATTCACGAGAGCTTTTACTTTATGCTCACATACGCTTCTCTCCATACTATAACAGGTCTACATTAGATTCCATATCAATCTGAAAGATGTACGTTTTTTAATATTTTTTTTATTATTATTAGTTTTTTTTATCTATATTCCATTAAATATTATATCTTTTCAGTTTCATATCTGTTTAGATATTAACTTCAATGTATGCTTACACACTTATTTAGAAATAGAAAAATATTAAATGTTAATATTTTGAAATTTCTTCATAATTACAGATTTGTACACTATGGAATTCCAGAAGAGAGGTCTTCCGCATTGTCATACTTTACTTTGGGTAAACAGTTCAGACAAAATAAAAAATCCGATTGATATTGACAAATATATTACAGCAGAGTTGCCGGATCCAATTAACGAGGTAGAATTGTACGAGACGATAACAAGTTGCATGATTCATGGCACGTGTGGACCGCTTAATGAAAAGGCTCCATGTATGAGGGATGATAAATGTACTAAACATTTCCCTCGACCCTTTGTTGACAGTACATTCTTTGACAGAGAGGGATATGTACGGTACAAATGTAGCGTAGATGCACATCATACTACCCGATATGGACAGGTTGTAGACAATGGATATGTGGTGCCCTACAATAAAAGGCTTTGTTCCTGTTTCCGTGCACACATCAATGTTGAATACTGTGGCTGGAATATGATGATTAAGTACCTGTTCAAATATATTTCCAAAGGAGCTGATCGCATAAGATACACACTCCAAAAGGCAGAATCAACCAATCAGTCATCTGCAGCGCTGCCCACTACTAGCCATAACAGATCCGAAAATGAAGATATATGTGCTGTAAACGAGGTACAGAACTTTTTGGATGGGCGCTACATATGCCCACACGAAGCAGCATGGCGAATTTTAGACTTCCGTATACATCAACGTCATCCAGCTGTACAGATTCTAACTGTACATGAGGAAAACATGCAACAATTGTTGTTCAATGGAGAAAACACAATACCTGAAATACTATCAAATCCGAACAGTAATATTACCACCCTACTTGCGTGGTTTGAAAGTAACGCAAGAGATGCAACAGGTTGTGATTTGACATACCTGGATTATCCAAAACCTTACAAATGGGAAAAGTCATCTAAGTCATGGAGTCGAAGAATTTATGACTCATCAAAAACAGTAGGTCGGATTGTATTCGTACATCCTACATCCGGCGAATTATTTTACTTACGGATGCTACTCTGCCACCAAAAGGGATGTACATCATTTCAAGATTTGCGCACCGTATGAGGTACTGTTTACCCAAACTTTCGGGCTGCTTGCAATGCACTTGGATTGATAGGGGGTGACATTGAATGGCTTACCTGTTTCACAGAAGCTTCCATCTGGGCAACTGCATCACAGTTACGATCCCTTTTCTGCCACCTATTGCTTTTCTGTGAGGTCAGCAATCCATGTTTACTATGGGACAGTGCATGTGATAAGATGAAAGATGACTATCTACATACCTTGAAACTCCAAATACCAGATAAGAATGTTGGTTCAACTGCTGACATAATTGAATAACAGTTGCTTCATGATTTAGATAATATGCTCCGTTCTGCTGTTCCATCCAAATCAATGGGAGATTTTGGCCTTCCCGTTCCTTCAGCTGATGTCATTGGTATTTTACAAAATTGTCTTCTACTCGAAGAATTGAGGTATGACAGGGAAAGGCTGATGAAAGAGCACAATGAGCTGGTGCCAAAATTAAACAGTGACCAAAGATCAGTCTATAATACAGTCGTTAGTTCCATAGAAAACAAAAAACAAATACTGATGTTTGTTTATGGACATGGGGGTACTGGCAAGACATTCCTATGGACAACCATTCTTTCCTATTTCAGATCCATAGGAAAGATTGTATTGGCTGTTGCTGCTTCTGGAATTGCATCACTTTTGCTACCTTCTGGAACAACAGCACATTCAAGATTCAAGATACCTATCGACTTAACAGACAAAAAATCATGTGATATTAAAAAACGCTCCTTCCTTGGAGAACTTATGCAACGTACAACACTCATTATTTGGGATGAAGCACCAATGAGTGACAGAAGGTGCTTTGAATTTTTGGACCGCTCACTTAGAGATGTGCTAGATTGTGATCAACAACCATTTGGAGGGATATCGATGCTTCTCGGTGGTGATTTCCGCCAGACTCTTCCCGTTGTACCAAAAAGCACACATTCGGAAATCATTGCACTAACTTTACCGAGTTCATACCTATGGCCATATTTCATGGTTCGGATTTTACCTACAAACATGAGACTACAATCATCTGACATAACAACTCAAAATTCAATGTCCACATCAGCTTTTGCAAGATGGTTGCTAGCTATTGGAGACGGAATCATAGGTATACCAGACAAAGACGACCCACGTGATTCAAGTTGGGTACAAATTCCATCCTCACTCCTAATATCTGCCACTCCAAACTCTCTACAGACGTTGATAGATTTTGTTTATGGAGACGGTATACTTATCGACCCCACTGCTGCAGATCTTTCAGTAAGAGCAATAGTTTCTCCTACAAATGAGACAGCCGACGAAATAAACACCCACATTTTAAAAATCGTGAGAACAAGTGGTAGAACATACAATAGTACAGACATCATGGAACCAAATGGAAAGCATACATCAGATATGGAAGGCTTGTATCCAATTGAATACCTAAACCAACTAAACATTCCAGGAATACCACCACATGAGCTTACAGTTAAAATACATTGTCCAATAATGTTAATAAGAAACATAAATCAGAGGGAAGGTTTATGTAACGGTACCCGACTCATTGTCTCCCAATTGTTACCAAACGTTATCGAAGCAACCATCATAACCGGCACTTGCATTGGAAAACGTACATATATACCACGGATAAAATTCATACACAAATCATTAGATTTCCCATTCACGTTTTCACGAAAACAGTTTCCAGTGAAAGTTTGTTATGCGATGACTATCAACAAGAGTCAAGGACAGTCACTGTGTAGAATAGGCATCTATTTGTCACAGCCCGTCTTCGCACATGGACAACTTTATGTAGCACTATCCCGAGCAACATCACCAGATTCCATAAAAATACTAATAAAGACCAATGACACAGTGGAAGAGAATCAAACCAAAAACCTTGTCTTCAAAGATTTATTGCAGAAACTTACTTCAACAGAGGTCTATAGTATCACTACCTGTCATACCTTTCGTGAACACTTTTCTAAAGACCATTACTACTTTTTGAAATAGCTTCTGCTGTTGACTGCTTCCACATAATTTACATATCTATAAAATTTCTTATTCTTTTCCGAATATAACACTGATTTTCACACATTTCTTTCTATTAGAAAACGGAAACAACTCATGACGAGCATTTCTGACTTGAAGACTGATGGTATTGGAGGCCCGCTACAAGTTAGAATACTGCAAAAATGGAAACATGATGTCCGGCGATACGAGACTTGGTATCTTGCTGTCGATAGATTTGTAAGTAGTCACCAAAAAAGATTACAACAAAATCAGGTTCTAAATTTTATATTTCGATGTTCTTTAAATATTAAAAAGTATGTTGATAACAAAAAATAAATTATTTACAGAAAGTATAAATAAAAGTTCTTACAACAAAATTATTAATAACAATTATTTTATGTTTATAAAAACATCGAGTTTGTTATTTTCAAAAAAATCATCTCTTTAATAAATGGTATATTCGTATATAATATGTCATAATCCGTAAATCATAAATATCCATGTTTTGTAATAAAAACATATCTAATGTCAACTTATTAACAGCATGATGGAGAAACTACATTCATCGAATCATATAACAATCTCTTTTTACAGGCAGATGCTATACAAATTCTTGGACAGCGAACAAATCAGAGTTACATTGAGTCTGTCCTCCATGTTTCACAGTGTTACACCATATCAGATTATAGTTGTCCTCAATTAGATAACTATAAAAAATTCCTTGAAAATGAGTTCTACATCGATTTTGGCCTCAAGTCCATCATACAACCAATTCCAAAGACAACAACAATACCCAAAACCTGGTTTCGGTTCGTATCAAAATCACATCTCATAGACCTCGGAGAAAGACCACCATACTATCCAGGTAATCATAATACCGAAATATCTTATTACATAGGTGTTTCTTACACATTTACATTTACTACTAAACATATTACATTGGTGTCTTATCAAAGATCAGAGAGTGTACCAAAGCAAGCGGGGAATCATTTGTCTTGCTCATACTAACGGATGAAAGGTATACATAGTAAAAAGCATATCACAGTTATCAATTTCTTCATACCTATCTAACACCAAAAAAAAAATTCAATTTTATTAGTGGTAGTGAACTTGCAATCAATCTATGGAAAGAATGTATAACCAATCCAGAAAAATTCAACCGCGACTCCTTGCATCAACCACCCGCGACAACGGTTGTTGCCGTCACGAACCTAAAACAATCCATATACAATGGTACTTTTTTCTACTCAGCCATCTATATATCGGTATTATCATTGTCATATAATGTTATGTCATGCACTCAATCTACAAATCACTTTTCTATAGGAGTATTACGTTATGGTTCATCACATGCTACACATATCTATGTGAATCCGGACATACCAGAAACAACAACACTCATTAATCTGTGAGTCATAAATTACATTAAAATCAATTATTCCGTATGATAAACTTTCCATACTAATAAGAAGATGACATCAAATTTACAGGACCTTCAAGACCAGCACCACCACTATCAGGAACACCATCAACCCTATATGACATGAAGAAAAAAAACAAATCTGATCTTCTGGTAACATCAACTTAATAATATCTCTATTTACAAATAACATCAGCTTCAGACATCCACATCCAACTCTTTTATATCCACAGGATAAAACATTCATCGTACAGGCTTCAATCAAAGAATTTCACTATCAAAACAGCTGGTTCCAAACAATATGTCCAATATGTAAAGATCCCATCTTCAAAAGAGGTGAAAGCTGGTACTGTAGTGCACATGGACTAATCGAAAAGCCCACTTACATGTAAGCATCTTTTGAGTTAAATAAAGCATCATTATTTTCTAACAAAAGTCTTTATGAATATTTTCCATTCATAGATACAAATTAACAGTAACCATCACTGATGCTACGGACACAATATCAGCACTAATATCCGAGACATCATGTCGGAAACTGTTAAAGTCATCACTTGAGAACTTTATATCCAATAACCCACACATAAACAGAAACACCCTACTTCCTATCATCACTGACCACAAGGAACAAACAAAAAAGATGTCGATCCAAATGCTTAGAGCATCAACCCTCGACAATATACACTTCATAATAATAGATATTGAAGAGCCAACAACCAGGGCCAACTGACACAACACCAGAGCCATCAACACCTGTTGAACATGTTGTGCGTACTCTCACCTACGATCCCCAAGGTAAACACCCAATAACAAAATCAAATTCAAGAACAAAAATACAAAAAAAATACTAACAATTTTCAATTCATGTCTAACAGAATCTGCACCAAGAAAAAATGCAAAGCGGACACTCAAACAACAGACATCATAGACAAGCACCACAAATGGATCTTTTGTTTGGACCAATATCACTATCTTTTGTAATATAAATATATCATCATGATCCTTTTGTTTGAACCATTGTCAGTTTCTTTTCTAATATAAACATATCATGATGACCCCCTATAACTATAAACAATAACAAATAACTTCTCTTTGTATCAATACTCTTCTTCTAAATTTCATAGATGTTTCCACAAGAAAAAGAACGAACACTTTCTTTTCTTCTATGAATTAACGCACCACCTACATTATAACATGCATGATAGCTATTACCTAAAATATGAACACACACATACCGATTTAAATAAATAATCCGTTTAAATTATCCACTAATTAATAATATATTACAGTAACAACTATTATTAATACGCAATTAAATGCAGATACATACATCCTAGCAAACACATTGCATAACAAAAGAATATTTACGATCACTACTTATAAACATACATAAATTACCACTTAAATTATACTAGATTCACTTAAATATTTGGGCAGGTGTTCTGACTAATATCACATCCAACCACCAAACAGTAGCCATCAAATTAATTATCAAATCCATGGTCAACGATTCTATCTACGAAATCAGCCAAGCAAACCTCATAGCCACCCTATCTACCACTTTTAAAAGCAGACTAGAAACCAACTAATACCTCTACAAAACTGCAAACAAACATCATGAATATCGTCATGTAGAAACCCATCGATCAACTCCAAACGATGAAGTTGTCCTTGGCAGATGTCCAAACGACGTACACCACTATCAACAATTCCAGACAGAACATGCTGCATGATGCTCCAACAGAACTGCCATACATGCATGGTATCATCACCAACACTGTGAACGCCAATCTCGACAAAGACACAGTCCTCATGCTCGATATGTTCGACATGATGCAACAGAATATGACAGCAGCTATCGATGTATGCAAGAAAATCACTCAACACCACCCAGAAGCATGACGAATTGAAATCACAAGTTTTTTGCGACCGTATAACATGACTCCTACTGTTATCCGATACGTAATCATACAGTAATAAATAAATATCTTTTCTTCCGTAATCAGTCGTCTATTTGTATACTTATCCGTTAGAAAACCAAATCAATATAAACATATACAAATACTCTTAGTTTTCCATTAATTTAACAAAGATATAAAATAGGTTCAAACGCAATCAAATAAATATTATTTATTTCAGAAGCCATAAAAATAAGACAGATGCTAAAAACGAAACCTCTGCCCCCCGCGTTGCGGGGGATAACCATCTAGTTTTTATAATGATTTTTCTATAATTTTGGTTAACTGAATAACTAAATACGACTTTAAATTAATATTTTTATATTTTATTTATATTTAACTTTTTTGAATTAGAAAATAACATGACGTCTACAATGATAAATCCATCCTAAACGAAGATAATGAATATAAAAATATGATCAAAATGTAAACTACTATTATTTGATAAAATAAGTCTAACATGACCTTTAAAATTATTTTAAAATCCAAACTTTTAGTGTGTTTATCAAGATTGTTAAGATCCTGATTTTGTTGGTAGGATCGTAAGATCTTAAGATTCTATCTATGATAATCGTGTCTGATCGCAATAGGATTGCTTTATATATAAGATCTCAAAATGGATCGTAGGATCAGGAAACGATCCAATGGTATCATTCTATGAAAATTGACAAATTGTAATCTGATAGTTTTAAGCATTTACTTATTGACTTGGCCTTACCCATGTCAATCGAGAATAAGCTCATTCAATACCTATTTTATGAAACGTAAACTAATCAATATTGCTTCTTAACTATATTTCTTATTTCTTATAAAGAACATAAAAGATTAAAGTGATTGAAAAAGATATATTTTTCATGTTTTAAATTATAATTGTGATTTTCGGTAGGATCTTAGGATCCGGATCTTACAAACTAAAAAAGATCATGATCTTGAAACGTCTTGTATTAAATTTTTTGAGTTGAGAACAAGTACAACGTGACCTTTACGTGACCTTTACGATTACCTATAAATTTTAAATTAAAACTTTTGATAAAACCTAAACTATTGTTATTCAATCAAATAAGTCCAACTGACATGATGTTTACAATTATTTTAAAACCAAACTTTTAGTTTATTTATGTTTTATTTAACTTTAATTTTTTAGCTCAAAAACAAGTACAACTTGACGTTTAAAATTATTTGAAAAGCAAACTTTTAGCTTATTTATGTTTCCTTGTTATAAAATATGCATGTACAACTTCACGTTTACAATTATGTACGTTAATACCAAACTTTTAGGTTATTTATGTTCCTTTTAACTTTTTTTCAGTTTAAAAAAACAAGTACAACTTGACGTTTACAATGATAAATAAGTCCTAAATAAAAAGAATGAATTTAAAATTTTGATCGAAAACGTAAACTACTATTACTAAATAAAATATCATTTGAAATACTGAACAATAAAATAATTACAGAACTTCTCAATGTATTGTAGTGTAGATCACAATAAGCAAGCATTCCTTCCATGCATGATGCAAACGTTATGTTTGAAAGTTCGAGTATCATGATGGGGTAAACCTATTGAGGTGTATCCGTAGTTGTATCTATATACACACATATATTCCCAAACCAATTTATATTATGTTCAGCCTTTAAGGTAGAGATGCTGAGGTAGCCGTGGTTTCGCAATTACAACAAGTGGCTTAGCCAAGGCAAGGTCATCATGATTTTCAACAAGATTAACACCCGACTCATTTTGTGGCACTTCCCAGGTGAACCCTTGAACCATTCTAGCCAACATCATTGTGGTGATCGTTGAACCAAACACCACTCCTGGACAGCCACGTCTCCCGGTGCTAAACGAAAGCAACCTCAGCTCATTATCTGAACGAACAACTTGCTTTCTTTCTGCATCAAGATGTCGATCTGGATCAAAGCGCATTGGATCTGTCCATACATTTGGATTCCAACCAAGCCCAGGACGACTAAGCAAAACATGACTACCCTTGGGTATGAAGTAACCAGCAACTGTAGTATTCCTCATCGAAACATGGGGAAAATTGAATGGTGCGAAAGGATGCAGCCTGAAGGCCTCCTTGATGCATGCTTTTATGTAATTAAGTTGAGGAAGGTCTCGCTCTTCGACCAAACGGTTGTGACCTACCTCATGATCCAGCTCTGCAACGGCTCTTTTTAGGATAGAAGGTTCATTGATCATCTCTGCCATCGTCCATTCTACTGCATTGGAGGGATTATCAATCGCAGCTAGCATTAATTCCTGAAATTAGGCAAGCCACCAAGAAAACACCAAAAGTCAATAATCCGACAAAGAGATTAATTAACCACTGTTATGAAGAGAGTAACCTCTCCAACATTTGTTACGATTTTGGAAACAAATCTTTATGAAAGTCACTAAGAACTGCATGTGAGTCTTACTAAAATCTGGGCTTTGATCTCTTGATTCGGTAAGCTTAGGGCTTTCATGGTTGATAAGAACATCAAGGACGTCCCCTTTTACCTTTCGCACTCCATCTTTCCACAGTTGAATCCGTTCATCAATCAAACCATCTTGGTATTTACGAACTCTTTGAATGGCCGTTCTGATAATCTTTTGATGGCCCTCAAAATCAATCTTCCCCCTCAACCATGGGAAAAAATCGATGACGGAAAATGCATAAAGATACTTAAGGATGGTGAAGACAGACGAGACATGTTCTGTTTCTTCTTCACCTGGACCCCCATCTTCCATCCCACCGGCAAAGAATCTTGTCCCAAAAATCATCATCCGTATCAAATTTCCAAAATAAAGATGGGTTGTGTTTCGAATATTTACTAACCCACCCTCATGAAGGGGTATCATTTTTTTGGATTTGATTGTGAATGTAGCTAAGCAAGTGATTGGCTTCCTCGTCTCGTTTGGGTTGGAGCCATTTGAGTATATGTGGGTCGAGGACATCATGGATAAGGATTGTTCTCATCTTCTTCCATTGGTCCCCAGGAGGGGACAGAATCTTTGTTTGATACCCGTCACTTACCAGAAAAGTTGATAAGGTTTCAGGCCTGGAAGAAAACACTACCTCTTGTTTTCTCAGGAACTCGCATGCTAGGTTTGGACAGGAGACTGCAATCACATGGGTCGACGGTCCTAGCTGGATGCAAAATATTGGGGTATTAAACTGGTCCATGAGTTTGTGGATCCATCGGAAAGTTGGCCGATTTAGAAGCATTTGAACGGTGCAACCAATGAATGGTAAAGGAGTCGGCCCAGGTGGTAATCCAGGCTGGTTGCTTGTAGTTTTGCTGGTAAGATACTTGCGGAAGAAGATGAAGATAATGATTAATATAATTGAGATACTGATCACCGGAATAGCGGTTGATGACCACCAAGAAAGTTGCATTGGTAGGAAGTTATATAGGAATTGGGATGCACAGTTTGGTGATCGATGGTTATAATCTACTCTTGGGTGCAAGTTTTAGGTGATTTATAGTCCAAATAGTTCACCAATTTTGATCAACATTCAAGAATAATAAAAGGGAAAATGACTTAAAAGCCCAACGAAGTTTTGAAACCATTCAAAAAACCTCAATCATGTTTTATCTGTTCAAGAAAACCCAACGAACTTAACCTTTTGTCTAAAGAGTCCAACAAAGTTTCAAACCGTTCAGAAAATTCTAATTTTGTTTTGTTTAATTTCGTTGGATTTTTTTTGAACAGTCAAAATATGATTGGAGTTTTTTAAACGCTTTGGAAACTTCGTTGTTCTAACAAGTCATTTTTTCGATACGGTAATAAATCACGTCATCTGTTTATCTTATCTGACTTTCGAGAAAGTGTAACTTAGTTGGGCTTTTTAGATAAAATGTTAAGTTTGTTGAGTATTTTTGAACAGACAAAACAATAAAAAAACGATTTAGGCTTTTTAGATAAAAATACCATAATAAACAATAAACAACTGAAGTGGGATCTTATCTTTTACATAAAATTTGATGACCCTACAAACGTATGGTGAAACAAATTACACATTCTTTTTTGAAGACTAAAAAATATTTTGTTCCATGGTCGTGCATGTTTGTAACGATGTTTGTCCAAACCTTGTGTTATTTATAATATTAATAGGGACGTCAATATCGAGTTGGTTATAATATTGGTCAAAACTCTCATTTCTTTTTAAATAGGGTGGTATGATATTGTATTTATATAAATTGAACTTTTAGTAATAGCCATTCATTGAGAACGTTGTTGTTATTGGAACATGCAACACCAAATAGTACATGCAAAATTTATTAATATTGTAAGGCTATAGCTTCAAGCATAAGTGTCGGGTGCTCGGTCACGGTACTCATAGAAAGAAATATCATGGTTGCATAATTTTTTAAAAGTTACACTTATAGAAAAAAAATCAATTTTTTCGGTCACAAAATTCATCACTTAAAGGGTTTCATCAAAAGAGTTACACTAAACTTACACTTATTTGGACTTTGTGATGAATTTCTTACAAATTCGTTACAGATTTCCGACAGGTTTGTAATGGATTTTGACGAATTTACACTATGTTTTGCACTTAACTGTAAATTTTGAGATGATGTATGTGGCACCCCGACCATATGGGTGGTTGTGATTACGTCTCTTGTATGGACCTCATCATACCGTTGGAAATTTCCTCTTTACCCAATTGTATATATTCAATGCTACATCACATTCCATACTTCTATGTGAAATTATTTCCAGTGTCGTGTATAAACGCGTGTTAGGTGCAGACTCATAATTCCATGGTCTAAAATTGAGAGATATGTTAATTTGTTTGTGAAAAAATTGGAAGATTTTAATATTATTTATATATTTCATTAAAATTAAAAATCAAATAAATTGGTGTTAGGGGCATGAGGGTAGGTTTGTAGCCTTTCGATAGGTCGAAGGAATTTTGTGTTGTACACCTTGAAAGTTACTTAAAATCTTCGCTATCAACACAAATATGGTGGTGTTCCCAGCGGTATCTCCTTTCCCTTAGTCTTCCTTAGTTGATACGATTCATCCATATGCATATTTTTGTAGTATTTTATGTGATATTCTCTATTTTCCTGAATTGAAAAAATATTTTATTTACGCTTTCTAAATACCATATTATATTTATTTGTGAAAAATCCTAGTATAATAAAATATTTTGTAAATACTGTTTCATTTTATTAAAATATCTTGAGTAAGATGTTTCAAAATACAAAACTCTAAGGATGTCATAATCAATACAATACATAAACTACAACATAAAGACCGAATGATCCTGAACATTATTGCATGTCGTCTTCTTAATTACTCAGTATCCTATTCAAGTCTCCAACAGTCTTAACACCGCTACCTGTGTGATAGCCGTCAAATTTTGGTCAAGTCAAAGTCAAATAAAGTCAACAAATCAAACCGGTCAACTCAACTAACCCCTGTGTATTAGGGTTTACGTTAGGTAGTTACCATACAACTCGCTATGCTAATGAGAAATCATCAACTGAAAAGTTCGTATATCTAGATTTCATTAACCTAAAACTATGGTAAGTAACGAACCAAACCAATAAAACAATGTTACATACTTATCGGGAGTGTGTAAGATCCTTAAACATGGCTTAACGGGGCTTAAGGACCATGCGTTGCGGAGCCAAGCACTCGAAAAGGTCACAAAAGAAGCCTCTCCCAATCTCTTTCACTATATCTCTCTTTATTTAAAATATCTCCCAAATCTCTCCAAGCATGTGAAATCTCTCCCAAATCTCTCTCAAAAGTTCCTTTAACTTTATGTAATCATTCGGGTCATCCCGCCCCTTAACCGGGTCAAAAACCGCTTAAAACGGGGTAAAAACGGGTAAAATAACCTTAAGGAACCAAAACCCTCCTATTAGAAGTGAAGCCTCTTAGGACCGAAGGTCCCCTATAGGGACCGAACTCTACTGAGGACCGAAGTCGAGAGCACTAGGATCGAACTGAGGAGGAGGACCAACCCCGAAGCTCATGGAACCGAACCCGAACCAACCTTCTCGGACCGAAACCCCCTTTCTCCTTCGGGCTATTTCGGCTCACGTTGCCTTCGGTCCATGACAAGAAGGGACCGAACCTTCGGCCCAGCACGGAGAGGTCTCGCAGGTTTCGCCTTTCTTCCCGGTTTTCGACTACGACTTCATTTTAGGCCCGTTTTTAATTATTTTAACACGATATTTTCACCTAAAATTATATTTTAACATTTAAAACCCCATATTTCATTATTTCCCACGTTTTTGGGTGTAAATCTTATCCAAGAAGAGTGGGTGAAGTATTTGAGGTGGAGTGTTGACTTCAGTTTAGTTTATGACACAAGCAACCACCCACACCCACTCCATTACCAGCCCACATCCCCACCATACCTGGTCATTCATTGTCCTTTTCCTATCATTTCCCAACCCCATTCTTTATCTATGGCTGAAATCTATCATCTCTCCTAACACTCTCTCATTTTCTCATTCTTCCACCAAAGATCAAACACATTTTCTCTCTCAATTATCTCACTAAAATTCGAGATTAAAGGGCCTTCTTCCAAGCTTTTCTTCCACTTTTGGTAAGTATATTCATCCTCCGTGTAATTATTTCACTTCCTTCTACTCCAATCATAGTTTTGTTACATAAATTCCATTATATTGGTGTTAGATCTTCGAATCTTCTAGCAACATTCTAATTGTTTTTCAGTTGAATACTTCTTTTCTTCATCATCCATATACTGAAATGACTCAAGGTGACTTCATACCCCCTATATTTTCATGTTTTTCTGAACTTTTAAGGAGGGGAGGGGGCGCGGGGGGGGGGGGGGGGGGGGGGAATACAAGTTAAAACACCAAGAACATAACTAAATTCATCCAACAGCTTTCATTAGAAAAGTTTAACTCTATTCATGGACTGTTTTGGCCAACTTAAACATTTTAGTTTTCAAAACTGTATCAGATGAAAATAGATCAGGTTTATACCTTTAAAATGACTACTTGCACATGTTTATACGGTTTTTCTACAATTTATGGTGATTTTTACAAAACTACATATCATTGTAGCTACGAATCCGGACTAGTCTGTGAATATGGATATTTTCACACAAGTTAGAGACATCTAAAAATCATGATAAAATTTATGAACAAACTAGACACATTTTTAAACTCCTAAAGTTTACGGATCCAGCTTTCAAATAAGTATGATTTTTCTGTGATTTTTCCAACACAGTACAGAAATATTAAAAAGAAGTTAACAGCTTACCACTTTCATTACACTTTGTAACATGTTGAACAAAGTGTTAATCTTTGATGGTTTCATATTTTATCTATGTTTTCTGTTGTGGTATAATTATAGAAAAGAAAATACTCACTGATTTATAAGAGTTCGTTGTCATTACAAATAATACAAAATAAGGCATGATAAACATAGTTATGTTTTTGCTATACATTCGACTCACATAAAATGGGATTCATTTGCATTACAAACGTTTTGGATAAACTATAATAGTTATAGTTTATGTTTCATATATGTAACATCCCGGAATAGCAAGAGTAGAGTTGAAGGACTAAAAGTGTAAATTTTGAAGGGTAACTCGGTGAGTCCATGGATGGACTCGGCGAATAGGGTTGCGACTTTGGTCGCCAATCAAGTGGCCTACTCGGCGAGTCCAAAGATTCACTCGGCGAGTAGGTGTTGAGTGGAGAAAACCCTAAATCCGGCGAATGAGCCCTATTTAAAGAACATTATATCATCTCCCCAGCCTCTTTGATCCCCCTTGAAGTCCAGAAACCCTAGAAAGCGTGATTGCGGAAGATTGGAGTGTATTTGGAGCTTGGGGAGGTGTTTGTTGAAGAAATCTTGAAGGAGAAGTGGCTTGGATCAAAGGGCTTTGCTTGGATTCGAGTTTCATTGCAGTTGGGGCATTCTTTTGAGGTAATATCTCATTCTTGGGCTATTACTCATATGGATTCATCATTTTGGGGTTTATGGGGAGCTTATCTTTGTATGTTTTAGAGTTTGGAGGTTAGAT